TTCACCATTGGGCAATTTCAAACTATCTCGCGCCCAATTTACTTTCATGCACGTTGACATTATTGGCCCCCCTCCTATTTCTCAGTTACCGCTACTGCTTGACTGCGGTGGATCGTTTTACACGATGGCCAGAAGCCATACCAATGGCAGAAATAACAACCGAAACAGTTGGAAAGGCATTAATATCGTGGATATCCAGATTTGGATGCCCAGCTAATATTGTAACTGATAGTGGTCGACAGTTTGAATCGTCACTCTTCCAATACCTTGGAAAGATGATTGGATTCAAAAATCGTAGATCAACCGTGTATCATCCAGCCTGCAACGGTCAAGTAGAACGATTCCACCGTCAGCTAAAAACAGCCATAATAAGCCATGCTAGCAATTGGGTAGACACGTTACCTCTGGTATTTTTGTGCATTAGGAGCGCATAAGGATGATCTTCAAACCTCATATGCCGAATTGGTTTACGGAGAGGCTTTACGTTTACCTGGCGAATTTCTTAAAGGCCGTAGCTCCCGGCTCAACCGATATGTCGGACTTTACCACCCGACTACACCAATTAACATCAAAGCTGCAACCTTCACTTGCTGCACGCCACAGTAAAACAAAAATTGCACAAGGACTTATTTTCATCAAGTCATGTATTTTTAAGGGACGATGCATTACGTAGCTCTTTGCAACTCCCTTACACTGGTCCGTACCAAATATTAGAAAGTAATGCCAAAACATTAAATATTTTAATAAAGGGTAAAAGTGTTACAGTATCCGTAGACCGCCTTAAACCGGCCTACATGCTGATAGACCCATCTTCCAACCCCATCCGTACATATTCATAAGTATACGTATACATATTCCACACTTATATGTATTTATATTTTTTATTATATATATTTACTTATGTATAACTATTTAAAATCATTAAATAACCGAATTTCATCGTTACGTATTACAATACAAATATAATATTTAATAATAAAATTAATAAAACATTATTTACATTAACCTGGTGTGCATTGAAAACATGCTAAACTACTATACCGTTGGAATACAGTTCCTTGCGCCTGCACATTCAACGCCGCGCACCGCGCATACCCGTCTGCTTACCAACAGCATACGCGAAGCCCATGTCGCCTGGATAACCGTAGTGCTCAGTTGCTAGCTCGCGAATATTTACTTTAAATAATTTGTTTTATGTTATCACTGTCTACTCCTTCAAGTTTTGTATAGCTATTGACTTTTATGTGGTGTTTTGTGGAACTATATTCAAATTCAAATTCATTTATTTGCCAAAATGTACGTATACATTAAAGTATGACCTTAAATTATGTCTAATGGCCCATTTACATTCTACCACTTTATATGGTGTGCTAATATTTTATGTGTATACATGCAAAAACAAAATTTAAACAAGTGGGAATTCAATTTCGTACATTTATGATTAATTGATGTCAATATGTCATTTAACCTCTCGTCAGTCCAAAACCTTCTAAAGGTTGCTGTCAAAAAGTACGCATCTGTCCACAACCATCAGAAGGTTGCTGTTTACTTATAAACTTCAGATTCGAAACAGCCCTAGTAAAAGTATACGTATCTCCCTATAACTAGTACAACATGCAGAGAATTAAACAAAGACGGCAATTAATATCACATACGCTTCATATATGAACCATAGAAGCTTTGAAATAGTAATACATTTATTCCGTTCAGTTGCTCGTTCTGTGACGCGGTGTCGTGTGTTTACGTGCAAAGTATTAATTGTTGAAAGTGATTTTGGAAGTTAATATAAAAGATAAACATGAATGGGTAAGTCATAAATACTTTTTTATTAATTTAAAACATATTAGATGACGATTTGTACATAAATTATTCCATTTTATCAAATATTGCTTGCCATTTCGACCGCCATGTTGATACCATGTTCATGTTAATTTCAATTGTTTTAAATTAAAAGTACAATTGTGAATGGTAAACATTGTTTTACTATCGTTAACATACATATTTACAAACATAACAATAATTACAATTGTATAGTTTCGATTAAATCTTTCATAAAACTAAAAATAACAAATTACTTAAATATCGCGTCCACCTGGCGGGCGCGGACAGACATGGGTCCTAAAGTTATTGACATGAAATCCGCCATCTTAGAGAGCAGGTTGTATAGTATGGATACGATTTTGGGAATGCCAGTGTTGGTATATTTTTGCGATAATTTTTGGTGTGGATTTTTATTTGTTTTTCTTATTTGTTTTGTTTTATTTTTTGTCAGTAAATTGTTTTACTTTTTGTATGTGCATGTCATTATATTTTTTTGCACTTGATTGACAAGTGAAACAAGACGACCGAGGACTCGCGGTTTTTATAATAACATTCGAATGTTAATTAAAAACATAAAAAAGCAATGAAAAATAACTAATTTGTATTTCATTTTAATTTTATATTCATGATTATAATTATTAAAGAAGTCACCACAGAGCGTATCCATACTAGCATAGCAGCGTACTACGTCATAATTGGTACTTTTTGTAGTGAATGTGTAACTTTTAGTTGTTGATTTCTAACATAATTTTGTATGAAAGATGCCTCCTTTGTTTCGTTTTTAACTTAGGAAATGTTATTAAATTTAGGAATATACATTCACATGTAAATAAATCACAAAATTGTTCCTTACAATTGCAAAAGTTTGAAAGCATTTTTTTAGGGTCACTTTTTCAAGTGTTTGTTACAACTCATTCATTTCTTAATAACTAAATAGTTGTAACATTTGAAACTGTTTATATTAAGAACAAAGACCAAACTATAGAATAAGTTAAGATTTAAAGCCCATTGTGCCTCAGGCGTCGTCGATATTGAAGTACACAATGTGCCTTTTTTTGTGCCTGTTTCGGTTCATCTTAAGTGGCCCACATTATTGTCGAGCTTGTGGTGTGAAAAAACTGTATGTAGAGTTGTGTTTTTTTTATTCATTATTGTAAAGTGTGTTTTCGTATAGTAAATGATGTAAATATTTATTGAAATAATTGCTTAATTTTTTTAATGATTACATTTTATATTCAACAAACTGGAAAAAAATCGCTTCTAGCAATTTTACCATCGAATTTATAACATACCAAAAGGGTGAACGTACACATTTACATATATTCTATTAGCTTATTTAACAATAATTCTAACAACATATCATGTTATATAGTTTTCATACATAAATATTAAGATATTTCCATTTTAATGACACGCGCCACGTAGGCAATATATCACTCGTTTAGGGTTTGACAGATGCGCCTAAGCGGCTATTTTGGCCCGGACTGCTGAGAGGTTAAGTAATAGGTTTTAAATTTAATTAAGGTTAATTGTTAATGTCTATACTTTCAGTTTGTTCGTAATTAATTAATTGTTAGATATATCAATATTACTGACTTCAGATTTATTTTTCACAAAAATACATAAATTCATTTAGGTCGTAAAAACCTTTTTCTTTTAACGATTGTATCAAATTTTATTAAACATTAAAGGTAACTCTCTAAAGTCGTTGGATATTTTGTTATACACCTTTATAGCATTTACATAAGAGTTTCTTTCATACAATTTGAGCCCGCATTGAGGTAAGTATAATTTATATTTATTTAAATATTTAAAAGACCATATGATAGTACTGAAGAAACATATGCGTGATATGCAAATAGAGCAGCATCAGTTGATACCGTGACTCGTAATCTTTTGATTGCATAGACAAATTTGTCGAGTTTGTCGCAAACGTAATCGACATGTGTTTTCCAGTCGCAATTTTGATCCAGCATTAAACCCAGAAATTTAGTACTTGCTACTTGATCGATGATCTTATCATTGTATTTAACATTAACATTCAATAGTTTTCTTTTATATGTCTGAAATTGAATCACTTTAGTTTTTTCCGTATTAATCTGTAAATTATTACAATAAAGCCGGTCTATTATGTTTTCAATAGCTTTATTTATCTCCATTTCATATGTATCTGCATTTTCACATTTCGCGATAAGAGTTGTATCATCAGCAAACAAGATTGTGTTATAGCTAGTGATATTAGGAAGATCATTAATATACATGAGGAATAAGAATGGTCCCAATACACAGCCTTGTGGCACGCCAAAGTCATTTGTCTGATTGTCGCTTCTGTATAACACCTTTTTGTTTTTATTGACTTGAGATATTTCCACACATTGTTGTCTCTCACATAAATAGTTCCGCAACCAGTTGTTAGCTTTACCTCTAATCGCATATTTTTCTAATTTGTGTAAGAGAAATTTGTAGTCCACAAAATAGAACGCCTTGCTCATGTCCAGGTAGATTGCCGCAACTGGAAGGCCAACATTTATAGCCTGGGTGACTATTTTAATCAAATTAAAACATGCTAAAGAGGTTGTACTATTCTGTTTAAACCCAAATTGCTCCTCCTTAAGTAAACGATGACTTGTCGCAAATTCTTGAAGCCTTCTCAGCATAATCTTCTCGAATATTTTTGACAATACGGGTATCCGCGTCACTGGCCTTTAATTATTCATTTTGTATTTTTAGCCTTTCTTAACCACTCGTCAGTCACGACCATATTGGCCAATACGGCGCCTCTGTCGAGCACTTGTTGAAGTACTTTTAGACTACTTCCTGCCGTTCATTAAAATGACTATTTATTTATAAGACATTTTGAATGAAAGGTATATTAAAATTATATATCTATGGAAATTGTATTAAATGAGCTATCAGATTACGTATAACTTGAATACAGGTTTACTTCGAAAGTGAAAGTGAGAAAAGTGTTTTTTCCCTAATTTTGTCCATTAAAGGTGTAATAATTGTAAATAAAAGCCTTTATTCCATGTACTATTTGTTTTATTTGAACGTCAAAAGCATATTTAACAATAAGTAATTAAAACAAAGAAACTTCTATACACATTTTTTGTTCACAAAATGGTCGACAATAATGGGCCTCATCTCGAAATCGGGACAAAAATAGGGATGTTTACAATTCAGTCCCGGCTCTCTTGTTTTTCTATAGATTGGTTTATATTCTTGCGATATACGTTTTCAGACCTAAAAAAAAAACTAAAAGTTATGAGAAATGAATAACAGAAACCAAACACTCGTAAATAACCCCTAAAAAAGATACCTCTATACATTGTCTTATAAATGGAATTCTATGGAACTTATTCTACATCGGACTTGCTATCCTTAAACTGAATAATATTTTTATTTAGAAAAACAATAAACAAATGCCAGTTTCTATACAATAATATTTTGGAAATCACTGTCAAAAGTATACAATTTCGGTACAAAAGTTACAAGTACACATTATGATAAGTGTGGATAAGACCAAATGTGATTTTCTCCGAAAGAAAAATATGAATGTAAAACGAAAGTTTAAATAAAAGTCATGTTGAGAAATAACATAAGTATAACATTGGATAACCTGCCAATTTTTTTTTAAAGTGGCAAAATCAATAATTTTTAAAATTAACTGCATGGAAAGCTATTTTAAATACCGCTATCAAGGATTTTGCAAATTCATATAAATTACTATTTTTAATCAACTTCAAATAAAGGAGGTTCTCTGACTGAGATTGTTTTCGAACTAATTTCAATTTTATTATTCTTTTTCACACAATAAAAAAGCATGAGAATACGTTAAATAGGTAAAAATACAGTCAGCACTAAACATTCACACAAAAAATGCACAATACAAACATCATTTATTTAGTCTAGCCCCTCGTCTGTACAAACGCCATATTCTGGCGTCTCAAATAATATGCGCATCTGTCAAACGCCATAATATGGGGTCGAGTGATAGCAAACTATTTGTAACATATATATGATACATAACATCCATATATATAACATATATATCTGTTATGCAAAATCTGATAGCTTATTTAAACTTTAGTGTATATATATATATATATATATATATATATATATATATATATATATATATATATATATATATATATATATATATATACTTGTTATATACTAAGTACTTCGGCAAGTGCTCGACAGATGCGCCATATTGGCCAAAATGACCCCGACATTCGAGTGGCTAGGCTAATACAAGCTCTTGTGAATTGAAGCCATCATTAAAATTAAACACTTACGGATGACTACGCGTTTATAACATTCCACGAACATTGTTTAGCGATTTTGTGTTTTAATTGTTTCCTGACGTTTCAACACCTTTTCAGGATCCGTGGTCACAAGTGGACAAAGCCATCGGTACCTAATCTATTCAAAGTTCAAAAATCATTTATTCAGTATTTTTAGGCTGTAAATTTACCTCTGGAGACTTTGTACCGAAAAAGAACTGGCAACAGAAATCGGTCATATGCAGGAGTAATAAGTTAATTTAGCAAAAAATGAATAATATACATAAATATATGTGTGTACATAAATACATAAAAACTAGTTCTGACATATCTCAACATGTAATTTATACATCATTTTTATACATCACCATCCAAACCAATAAAAACCTAACTTAAGTGCACCCCGTTCTTACTACCTACCTAAATCACCTTTCAAAGTTTAAGCAAAGTCAAAATAGTTTATTGAATGTAGACCTTTACAGGTACTAAAACAAGGAATTTACAAAAATTAAAATCTGACTTTGAAAAAACTTACCCTACCACCAGATCGGATTTGGGGAGTGCCTTTCATCCATTACCATTCACTCATACAAAGTCTACCTAACTGCGCCTCATTCTTACTATCTATCAAAATAATTTTCAATCCATCAACATTGTTCAAGCTCAACGAGGAAACGGCAAAAAGTTGATTAGGGGGCTTTTGAGAAGATAAATATATAAAATAGAAAGAAAATAAACTTAAAAAGATAAAAAATATATACATACTAGGTATGAAGACTTAAAAAAACAGGTGTCGTTACAAACAGTACTGCTGCAACCAATACAGTATGTGTGCACCCGTTTCTTGCACTGTGTGCACATCGGATAGTCGGCAAGGCGGTGGGTGAGGTCCACATGCTGATGGGTTGCATGCGAACGTACAGGGAGAGGAAGAGAAGAACGTAAACAATGCTTATGAAATAATTAATTAATAAGTACGGAACGAAAGTCGCGGTGAGTGAAAGGAGAAGGAGAATTTTTTACGAATTATATATGAATTTAATACGGAAACGTTTAAAAGCCTCCTAAACAACATCTTGTACCAGAACCTGGTACGTTTCCTCTCAATAGGGTACATGGCCAGCATTTGGTCTTTTTTATCCACTCCACCCATCATGATATTGTAATCCAATATCAGAATGGGTTTGGTGGAACCAGACCCCTGGGAGACTGCGTTTCTATGGTACGTCGAAATCATAGCAATCCTGTTGCTGTCTCGCCATACTATGACATCGACGTCCCCCGAGGTAGGACCAGTAAGCTGGCCAGTACGCATATTGGCCTTGGTAAGATTATGCAGGGCCTGCGGAACAAACTTACGATTGGACCGCAGGGTGCCAACACAGTCAAAACCAAGGGGTTTGAGCCGGCGCGCTAAAAGGGGAGAATTGTAAAAGTCCACATAGTATGACCTTTATTCTCAAGACCATGTAAAAGTCTTAAGACAATGGCCGGTGTCTTCCGATGGCTGCTGCTGTGGAGACCGCTTATGAGCGTGAATTTCAAACCGCCATAAATAGCCGGTTTGAGATTCACAGACTTCATAAGTCTTGATCCCCATCGTTGCAGTTTTGTTGGGAACAAGTTGGTTAATGTTTAACCAACCTTTCCACATGAGAAGACCCTCATCGAGAGATATATTTTGGCCTAAATCATACATGCTTTCAAACTTTCGACTAGATGTGTCAAAACTGGTTTTATTTTAAAAAGTTTTGCCTCAGAATAATCCAGTTCTAGCCCACCCATGTCATCATTATTATTGAAATGTAGGTATTTGTTCAACAAAATGAATCGGTTATATGGCATGCGTGCGCGTGTGTAGTATATGTCAGAGGCTGTCAACCAGTATTCCTCTAACCTCAACTTGATAACAACCCCCATCGCAAGAACCATAGCAAGATAGGTGTACAGCTCGTCGGTATTAGTGTCCACCCATCTTGTAATGCGGCTATTGGGATGGAGTTTGTTATCACGGAACATCTGATCGGCCATCTGCTGAGTATATCTGATTGTTTCTGAGGCAATGTACTCCGTTAATTACCTATCCCACATGGCAACAAAAATGTCATATGGGTCGACATGTGGAGCTGTCGGACCAACATTTCTTGGTGAGAAGCTCTCGCGCCTCGATTCAGGCTGAATCTGGGTAACAGGGAAGGCTTCCCAATGAAAATCAGAAAGCTCCAAGGCTGGTTCGTTGTCGTTGGAGCTAGATTAAACATACTGGCACTGGTAAGTATAGCGGTGGCGGTAGGCAACCTATCATTCTTAGTGGTGGTTGAATGGGCGGAGGAAGTGGCTTCATCATCAGGCTCGATGTCGATCGGCGTGTCCATCAAACTGATGACCGTCCGAGGCAGGAACAGACGCGCCAATTCTTCCTCTTCGTCGCTCTCGTAAGTACTTGGTTCGCTGCCTGTAACAAAGGATGAAAAGCTCATCTTGCTGCATACAAATTTACATTATTGGCCGGCTGAGATAACTGATTATTTCACTTACCACAGTTGACAGCGAACTCTATTTGAGAATTATCCAAAAGCCGACGAGGACGAGGAAGAGGACGCCGTATAGCACTGCCTGAGTCTGACGGTGTCATAAAACCTGGGCCACCGCATTCCACTAACCTAGAGGCAAAAAAGGATTAATGCATAGCAATGTACATCACCACAATAAAATAAAAACAAAAACTTACATTACCGGCGAGGGCATCGAACCTGCCGGTGTCAATGCCCAAGATAGCCCCGCCCGAGGGTGTGGTCCTTGGTCTACCCTACAAAGATGTTTCAACATTTCAAATACAGGTCGAACAATAGTTTGACGTATATTTTAGTTATTTCTAGATTAATAAATCTTAAAATAATACACCCTTAAATCAAAACTAATACGTGGTAAAATAGTCAATTTAAAAAAAACTTACATTGCCGACGCGAGCACCGAATCTGCCAGTGGTACATCAGCAGCACTAATGGGTGCAGCTGATGATACCGACGACGATTGTCCTACCCCATAGTCTGGTCCCTGATCTAACCTATAAAAACATTTTAATTCGATTTAATAAATCCTAAAATAATACACACTTAAATCAATACTAATACGTAGTAAAATAATCAATTAAAAAACTCACATTGCCGACGCGAGCACCGAACCTGCCAGTGGTACATCAGAAGCACCAACGGGTGCAGCTGATGATACCGACGTCGATGGTCCTACTCCAGAGTCTGGTCACTGATCTAATCTATAAAAACATTTCGCTTCGATTTAATAAATCTTAAAATAATACACTTAAATCAATACTAATACGTAGTAAAATAGCCAATTAAAAAACTTAAATTGCCGACGCGAGCACCAAACCTGCCAGTGGTACATCAGCAGCACCAACAGGTGCAGGTGATGATACCGACGTCGATGGTCCTACCCCAGAGTCAGGTCCCTGATCTAACCTAAAAAAAACATATCGACATTTAAAATAAAAGTAAATTATAGTATGAACAAGAAATTATAACCCAAATCAAAAAGTAAGATGAAGTAAAATACTCAACAACTTAATTATGGTTTCCGCAAGTACGTGCGGTAGAGTCGGAGGTGGAACTTGGTCAGTCCTACAAAGATATTTCGATATTTAAACAAAAGTGTAACATAACGCATTAATGCTATTGAACAGTTAAAAATAATAATACTACTCACGGTTGCCACATGCGTTGCCGTTTTACGTGTAAAGATGTCTCGAGAGCCTGGCCTGGTCGCATCTCATTCATATTGCGAATTATTGATCCAAAAGAAACAAACGATTTATAATGCTAAAATAGCGAATTGTAAGAAATAAAATACATAAATACACTCGATAAGCATAACACAGTGCGTAAAAATAACAATATTAAAAAAATAACAAATGTAAAAAATAATTACTATATAATGATTTCTTATATTTACGCGAACACTACACATTGATTAAAACTATTTTTATGGATTTTATCGCGTTTATTTTACTATTATTTTTAATTCCCGACGTTTCGGGCGCTTTCCAGCACCCATGGTCACGGGGGACTGAGATGACTGACGTCCCGATGTCATTGTTAAACCCGGAGTACCTTCAGCTTTTTTAATTATTGTTTATGGTCCGATCTATGTAAAATGAGCTGACTATGTCTTGAGGTCTTGCAGTGGTATGCTTGGGTTTCGTTTTAATTTTATTGATTATAGGATCCCAAGCAGGTGGTAGTACCCAGCCTCCTTCTCTATTGAAATTAGGATGTTTTTTAATTTCAATAGCCTCACGTATCATCCTTGGTAGGAATCGGTGTTCTTTCGCGTGGATTTGTGGTCTATCAAATCTGTGTAATGGTTGGGGCCGTCTAGGATATGATCGCAAACTGCAGACTTCCCGGAACGTTGATGCTTCACATCAGCTACATGTTCTTTTACGCGGGTTCTAATTGATCTTTTTGTTTGTCCTATATAAGAGAGACCGTATTCACAATCAAGCTTGTACACTCCTGCATCTTGTAGAGGAATATGACACTTGACTGATGGTAGGAACTGACTAATCTTCTTCGGCGGCTTGTAGAATGTTCTAATAGAAGCTCGCTTCAAGATGTAGCCAATCTTGTCTGTGACACCTCTGACATATGGTAGTACAGCAGGCACACGCTCGACTGTAGCCGGCTTCACTCGGTCACTGTGACGTAGGCGCGGGACCCGAAGCTTGTTGTCGTGCAGAACTTGCTTGACGTGCTGAAGCTTGGCGGCCAGGTGTTTGAAGTCACAGATCCCTCGTGCTCTCTGTAACAAAGATTTGCCCACGGTAGCTAACTGTGAAGGATGGTGGTGAGATTCACCGTTTAAATATCGGTTTGTATGGGTCTTTTTTCTATACGCAGTGTGACCAACGGTGTTGTTAGGATTTCAGATGACTAACACATCTAGGAAAGGTAAGGAATTATTTGCCTCTAACTCCATAGTAAATTGAATTTTAGAGTTTATGGAATTAAGATGTTTTAAAAATGCAGTTACTTTGTCTGATGGTAAAATTGTGAAAGTATCGTCTACGTACCGCTTGTAGATCCTTGGTGTAACAGGTGCAGTAAGGAGGGCTTTCCTCAAAGTCTTCCATAAATATATCGGCGACAATGGGAGATACAGGTGAGCCCATCGCAACACCATCTACTTGCTTTTAAAACTCTTCCTTCCACAATAGATAACGAGATGTAAGGCAATGTCTGAGTAATACTGCATATTCTGCCGGCTAGACATGTGTCAATCATGCATGATTCGTTCGTTTGAGCTGGTACACTTAAAAGTATTGATGGATCATTCATTTGTTTTTGAATGAACCAGTACAACCAGTCACAAACAACTGACGGTACCTTTTTTACCCGCGATTTGTTTGAATTGTGAATGAGCCGCAAACCGACCGAATCCCGAATGATCTGAATAAACAGGGGAATCGTATTAACAATGCAGACTGCAGAGTATCAGGAGTATTTATCATTTAAGGGTTTTTGTATTACAATATTGTTACCTAAATTAAAAATCATTTTACATTTTACTAAAATTTATTAAATCTATGAGTTAAAAATATCATTTCGTAGAGTTTACTAAAAATAACACTTCAAAAGATTTCAGATAAATGATTTATTTAATGATAATTTTCAACCATCATATATAAGCATAAGATTGGTAAATGTTTAATTTTGTAGCAAATAAATGTAAAAATTTTCGGTTCCCAATGGATCTCACAAAGTACTGGAGCCTGAAATGATCCATTTGAATGATCGATCCGAATGTACCAGTACGCGTGACGAAATGTACTAGAATGATTCGGTCGCTATAAATGAATGATTTACACATGTCTACTGCCGGCATATTATTTTCCTCTAGTTTCCTAGTTATAATTGAGATGCAGTCTTGAACAGGTAGGCATGTAAATAGAGACTGAACATCAAAACTGACCATGGTTTCATTGTCAGTATGACGTAGGTAAATGTACAACATACGAAATCGTTGACCACAGACACGAATTATAAACAACGCGCTGTCTACAACTTATCAAAACAAACACTGGACGACGCCACAATACAAGTTTTAGAAAAAGGAATGAATATCGCAATAACACCGCGAAAAATACCGTATGAGGACATTATCTGTAGTGTTGAGGACCGTCTGTATAAAAATAACATTGGTAATGAAGATTTAGAGGCCATACGTCAAGACATTTCGTCTATGTTACGTCGAAGTTAAAATGTCACTTTGTGGATCTTTCAAATCAATTCTTTTTTAAATGTTATTTATAAGAATTATATATCTAATTTTCTTAAAATTTTGTTAGAATTAGTATCGTTACCAAATTACGCTTATATAAAATAAGAGTATATTCTAATGACTAGTTTCCGCCATGATGCGTCGTATTTACTACAGTATATTCCTATGCCGTGTGAGTGACGCTTGTAATACTGTTTGTTTTTAAAATTTGAAAGTGTTCATCCATTTATAAAAGTTTGTTGAGAGTTTTTTATACAAAGGGTAATTAATTAGACTATTTTTTAAAAAGTTTTGCTTATATTTCGTATTTTAACAATTTTATTTTAATTATAAAATTAGCATTTCAAATACCGTCGTTCACGTATGAAATAAAGTACTCAGAGTTAACTGAAAACTGAAATATAAAGTGTAAATAATCACCACAAATCATGAAAAAAACACAGAAACTCATATTTTATACAGTCCAAGGTGCAAAAATAACGTTATATATTATAATTTCGATATCTCGTGAAAATTATGGTAAAATTGTTTTCAACAAAAATGGCGTTGCTCAATAAACAATACATAAACAACAAATAAATACATACCTATGATTGATTTTATTTCGATTTATTAGAGGAGTGTATATTATTACGATGTCGATATAATTTTATTTTATATATTACTTTTCTTTATGAAATTTCGAGTGTTTTCTTCTACATCATAAACATACATACACATACATCCAGTAGTTAGATATTTGAGTGTAGAATTTAGTATTTGATAATTCATATATATAAATTTTATAAACTTTGTCTTCTTAATCTTTTCGATTTTCATGAAGACACAGAATGTTCACATGTGTGTACTATATACTTTTGATATTTTATGGTGTGACTCAGACGAGGGCGATCTTAGCGAAGAGGAAGAAACATTTTCACATAATAATGTTGTAAGTTATTTATTATACTCTGGTCTTTATTATAATTATAAATATGAGTGCATATAGTGGTTGTATAACGCGACTGCTGGTTATGAGGTCCCGGGTTCAAATTCTGGGTTGGGTCAATAAAGTTAGTTAATGAGTTTTCCATCAAGAAATTCCCAGTAGCAGCCCAGAGTCAGGAAGTTGGCGCTGTCTCACTCCCGTACCTCGAAAAGCATGTACAGACATTAGTCCTGCGCCTGATATCTCTCCTGTCATGTTGGTTTACCGTCCTGTATATATATACATGTTGGTATTTATATACCATTTGTATTACAACAGTCTAACCAACCTGGTCAATCCAACTCATGACCATAAAAGTATGTTATATATGTTTATCTAAAATGTCTCATCTTACTTGTTACTCAGTAGCAGGATATGCAGGGGGACTTCGATAACTCCAATGAGGTTGTCCTACTGGCCATGTTTGACGAACATGGACAGCAGTTGGAGTGTCCAAGTCTCCCTTTAGGACCCGCACCTTCCGCTGAGCCAGCACGAGTAAATCCGCCGTTACCAGTGTCACCATCTTCTTCGTAAGTTAATTTTGTTATTATGTTTGTATTAAGCTTTTTCAAAAAAGTGTGTAAGTAGAAGCTACCAAAGTTTTTAAACTTTGTCTATATTCAATGAAAATTCTTCACTCTTATAAATTAGAGATATGAAAAAGCCTCAGTCTTGGGAAGAACGCGTTAGAAACCCAGCGAGACTTTTGGTGAATAGAATTAATTTAAAATATTTTTTACAGAATAAAATTAGTATGGTATCAATCTCCTCATTCCCAAGGATTATTATCAATCACATACTCTTCTTAACATATTTTCTGGGACTTTGTTGTAAAAGCATATACCTACGTTGCACCATGTAGGAATTATACTGACTCTTTGGAGTCTAGAACAGTTGTAACTAGTTACTATTTTATCTTTGATTCTATCTAATTAATTTGTATATAATTATTCTACTACATTCATTTATGTTATATTTAATAGTTTATTTAGTTTAGTGAAAGTTGGGTGTGGCTGAAGAAGCACGAGAGTAGAATAAACGCAGTAGAAATGCGGTCGTTAAGAAGTATGTTAGAGCTGAATCTGAATGACAGGGTAAGAAATTGTGTAATAAGAGAAGAGTGTGGTTTGCAAGATGATGTTGTGACCAGGATTAAGAAAGGAATGCGAAGAAAAGCATATACCTACGTTGCACCATGAAGGAATTATACTGACTCTTTAGAGTCTAGAACAGTTGTAACTAGTTACTATTTTATCTTTGATTCTATCTAATTAATTTGTATATAATTATTCTACTACGTTCATTTATGTTATATTTAATAGTTTATTTAGTTTAGTGAAAGTTGGGTGTGGCTGAAGAAGCACGAGAGTAGAATAAACGCAGTAGAAATGCGGGCGTTAAGGAGTATGTTAGGGCTGAATCTGAATGACAGGGTAAGAAATTGTGTAATAAGAGAAGAGTGTGGTTTGCAAGATGATGTTGTGACCAGGATTAAGAAAGGATTGTGACGGCCCAATATTATTATAA